ATAAAAAGAAAATAAATTTGTTATTATATTAGAATTAACTTGTGAATCAATCAAATTTAAAGAATAATCTTCCATCTTAAACTATAACCACCTATAACAAGTATTGTCATTGAATACCTCACTTTTTAAATAATAATAATAATTAGAGATTAAATAATTAATAAAATAAATAAAAATAAATTTAAAAAATAAAAAAGAAAAAAAATAAAATAATACCGAATTTCAAAATTTAAGAGAAACATTTATTAGATTTTGAAATTTGATTTTAACCAGATTTTAAAATTAGGTGAATTTTCTAAACCAAATTTCGAAATTATATATATGCAAAATATAAAATTTCAAATGAAATTGATCAAACATAAACAAATAATACGTGTGCCTGAATGAAGATGAAAAAAAAATGAATGAGATGAAATGAAAAAAAAAACAAAGTAAGACAAAAGAAAAGAAGTTATACTGTTGTTGGAAAAAAAAAAATACATACTTGGAAGTACATAATCATGCCGTAAATATAAGACTTCATCACAATAAATATATTTGGTAAAATAATAATTTATTTTATATTTTATATAAATATTTCAAAGGGTAAAATTGAAATGAAGAAATTTAGAGGTAAAAAAGAAAAAAACTCGGAGGTGCAGCTCTATCATTACACTATGATTGGATTTGGATCTGTCTGTACATCACGGCCCATGAAGTTAAAGTTCCCACGTCTCTGTCATATTATCTAACCACAACTAGTAGAGATAAGAGCCAATTAAAATTTGTATAATTTTAAATTAATTAAATAAAATTCAATAGAGTTAGGTTTTTCTTTTATTCTTTCGTTGATTTTTTTTTAACTTATTATACAAAATATTATTCTTTCTCAGAAAGTGTGATGGACAATAATTCAAGGAGTTGTCGTTTTCTTATTATATATTATCCTTTTTAACGTGAATGTGAAGTGTCTGACAACATGCCAACTTATCAAGTTTTAAGTAAATTTAGACAGGGTTTACCTTATTTAATTAATATGGTGTTTCATTTATAATTTTTAATCATCTAACAACAAAGCAACAAAAACAATTAAGTTCTAAAACTACAAAACTTTTAACATTAATTTTATATCAACTAAAAGGTCATCTTTTATTTTATTTTTTATAAAAATCTTACAGTTAGCGAATATGGATTCTGTGATCTTGAGGTTGAAAATTTTATTACAAACTTAAAACTATAATTTAAATGTTATTAACTTATTGTGTGTAATTTAAAAAAAAAATAGAAACATGTCCATTTTATCGTAAAATAATAATCATACGGCTATTGCTGTGTGTTTTTTATATTGTTTTGGGCCTTGAAGTCAGTGTGTTTTTCTACATTTCGGGACCGATAACAATAGGAAGGTTTCTACTTCCTGCACCCTATTTGTTTCTCCTGCACCTCCCTAACTTTTTAAAATGGTCATTCTACCCTTTTAGTTAATAATAACGATGGAAGTTATATTGTCATGCCAATCAATAGTTTTTCTTTGTTAACTTGCTTGACAGGTACATCATTTTGTAGAAACTTTCTTCGAGACAATGTAAAAAGCACATATATGTTATAGAGTTACGATAATGTGAATTCATGTGAAAACTCTGAAAACAATTTTGCATGTATAAATTGGAATTAATTTAGAGTCTTTTTTATTCAAAATCTTAACAATTAATGTTAATGATTAATTTAAAAATTATTTTATAAATCAATATAATTTTTTATTTATATAAAAACTATTTTAAATTATTAATAGTTTAAATTTATAAATTAAATATATAAAATTGTTTCTTATAATAAAATTAATTTTTCTTAAAATTGTCAGTATTTAAACATTTTATCGTAGTGACATGGCATCTCAATTATGTAATGGAAAAAAATTAAAATTAACTTCAGTTTATTATTGAGTCCATTAGGAGCATTTCTAGAGAAAGAATAGATACACAGTTAAGAATTCGCAGCAATGCTATTGTCGCAGAGACAGAAAAATTTTCCAAAACATGAAACTGGAAAAGGAATTTTACGTCACCTTAATGTAAGAATATTATTAACACTCTTCATAAATAGTCAGAGATAACAATGAATTTCATATTTGCTTTTTATTCTAAATTAGATTTTTTACACATGCCCTCAATCAATTTTAAATTTCACATATGTGTGTCTTCTTCTTCTTTATTATGAGTAATTAGCTAAAACTTAGGCGCTATAATGTGTTTTCGTATTTTTTTTAATATTTATTATGAAAAAAGTATAATATTTATTTATATCCATATATTTGTGAAAAAATATATAATAATTTTCTTAAAAAAGCATAATATTTATTTCAATAAGTTTTTTTAATTCCCTAACACATCATACATATATTTTTTTTAATTGTAAAGAACAAAAACATAAATTAAAATAATATATAAATGACCATATTATAATATATAATATAGTATAATAGACAGAATAATAATCGTAATCTTGCGCATAGTAAAATATTTTACTACTTCAACAATTTTATTTTATTATTTTACTTATTATTATAGTGACGAATATCAATTTTTACTAATATTAAAATTATGTTTACAATGTTTTACATATTTTCAATATTAAATCTCTATTTTATAAAATTGTCTAATGATTTTATCATAAGACAAAATATATTTAAAGGTTTTACTAATAAAATTTTATTATGGTTTTATTATGTTCTTTTAAGATATTGAAAAATGGTTCTAAAAATTTCACTCTTTTGGGCTATGTGCTTCAACCAATTTTTGCAGTTTATTCTTAAAGAAATTCAAAAGTCGTGAAAAAAACACATTGTTATTATTATTAAGTTTAAATAATAATTTAGTAATTGAACGTGTAATTGAATAGTAGAATTATATAATTTTTATATTAAATTTTTATTCTTACTTGTTAGACATTTTCTCAATATTAAAATGACAAATATTTCACTTACCAATATATAATAATATTTATTATTAAAATAGTGAAACTATTAAATAAAATTGTATACAAAATCATAATAAAATAATAGAAGTATGACTCAAGTTGCAATCGAATTATATTTGAACTTGTTTTAGGAGCAAATAATTACAAGCTCTGATGAACTTTTCACTTAGTCACTGATCTTCAAGAGTATTACCACTTCCAATGCAAATCATACCTCCAACTTAAGTGACAATATTAGTAGACATCACAACCTTATATGTTTTGCTTTCAACCATATCAATAGACGTTGTGTATGAGTAAACAAACCCCAACATTAAGAAAATAATGAATTTTGTATTGCTTAAACACTAATTAATTGCTCTATGCGACATAATCTCACCTCTTGCTTCTTTCTTTCTTCAAGATTCCGAGTTCGACGGAGGAAATTTCCATGGGGCCGGAGAAGTGAGAGGAATAAAGTATCGTGGATGGAATGAAAATCAATGGATGAAATATGTGGAGATTAGGAATAAATGATATCAATATTTTCAATAAGTCATTATTGAGGGACACCCTTGAAAACTAAAAGTTAATTTATGAAACTGGTCAAAGGAAACGAGTCAAAATATGCTTCTTGATGGGTACAAGGATTTTAAAAAGGTATTATGGGACAAATGATCAAGAGAATCAATTTATATCGCTTTAAATAATTTTTTTTTTTTTTGTTTCGAAAGTCTTTGACCCATTTCAAACATTAATATGTCTTGCCAAAACTAGGATTAGAGAAGCGATCATGTGCCCCCTTAAGCAATTAAACAATTTTATGATTAATTATTACAACAAAGAATTTTCATTGAATACGTAATATTATTTTCATGACAAAAAAAGAACATGTGATTCTCGTGGCTTTTGTAGTTTTAATATATGAAAAAGTATTTTTTATCACAACTTTACAATAATATAGGTTTTCTTCAAAATTGTATCCGTGAAATTTTCGGGACATCGTTTTCTATGTTTTATGATCAATTTATTTCATTATAAAATTAGAAATGTTCAAATAATTACGATTCATTAATTAACTCGATTTATCATGGATTTAGATTAAATTAAATTAACTAAAATTTAATTTATACTAAATTGGACTCGATAGATTAAATAGGTTCGAATTAGGTTGAAGGTGAGTTGATCCTAACCCATTCTTTTACTTTTTATCATTTTTCATAAGTTTTATATTATAATTATTTACTACTTCTAAATATGTAGGTAACAATTTCATCTTTTAAAATACTAGAATATATTTTATTGATATTTGAATAATTTGAATGTTTAATTTATTTGTTTATCAAATTACATATGTTGACCGTTTCAACTACTCATAATAATGTTTTGTAAGTATGTAAACTCTTTGATTATACGTATATAAAATAATGAGTTAAGTTAATTTACTATAATTGTATTACAATAAATATAAAAAATAAATTGAAAGAAAAAGTATGAGTCAACCCATCAATGTGGTAGGTTGTTAACTTAGATTACAAATTTTTTTCTCACCAAAATGTGAGTAGAATTGATCTGACTCATTCTTATCTTAACATGTGATAAACCAATCCATATTAATTAAATTGGCTCACTTTATAACCTATACAAAATTAAGCCAATCCATATTAATAAGATTGGTTTACCTTAGAACCTCTATACAAAATTAAGCTTTTTATTAACTTAAGTCAACATACTTGAAAAAATGGCTATTGTTTTATGTAGACATTCACCTAGTAATAACTATTAAGAACACATTTTAATTTTTGGGATATTTTTAGATTCTAAACTTGAACACAAAATTAAAATTTATTCTTTTTTCAAATGTTAATACATCTTGATTTTTAAACTTTAAAAATAAATAGATATAATTTCTAAATCATAAAATGTATCATAAATTAAAATAAAATTGAATTTTAAATTTACGTTCAAATTTAAAAAGAAAAACGTATTTAACCTTTATTCTTTTATAAAAGCAAAAAAGAAAAGGGTTTATAGTACCAATAGTAAATATAAAAGAGAAGTCATAGTTCAACACAGAATAATTGATCAAATTTAGAAAATTAGAAGCCATCCAGACTACAGTCGAAGTCAAATTACAGTCACAACTAACGGGTACAATTGCATTCTCATAAATGAGTTAGCAAGGTGGGAACAACATAACAATCCCAAAATCAGAAAATCACAAATAAACAAACAGACAAAGACATGGATGATAGCAGTGCATGAACTGAGAATGACGTGCTTAACTGCGTCTAGCTGCACTGGAAGTCAGAGGGTGGCGACTTCTCACAGGCGTTAAGGATCAAGCTTAGTGAAATGGGGATGTTAAGGTTAATGCCAAGTATGTTAGCTTTGATGGCAGTGCAGAGGCAAAGCGCGACTTCAAGATCAAGAAGCCCTTCTAGCACCGAGCAACATGGGTGGTCCGGTGGTGATCCCACCACCGCACCAATTGGTCCATTAAGCACGTTAGCGCACACACCCAGCTTAAGTGCATCCCTGGGACAGCTCTTTGCAGGAGGAGTAGGGTTAGAGTTAGGATAAGGGAATGGGTTAGGCTTTGGCTGTGTGCAAGTGAAGCAGCCACTTGCCATGGCAAAGAAAAGCAAATTGATGGTAAAAAAAAGAGCTAGAGTTGAAGATCTAGAAGACTCCATCTTGCAATGCTATCGCTCAATACAACTGTAATAAGTCTTGTGTGACGAGGGAGTAATTTGTGATGGTGTTACATATAGGAGTTAAAAGGTAGTGTACTTTAAGCCCGAGATTCAAGAATGTTTGTCCTTAGTTTTAATGTTTTGAGAGCAGCAACATGTGAACCGGGACTAAGTTGTCTTTAGTGGCTGGCAGTGCAAAGTGAATCGACGTAAAATGTGATAGGCTTTTCAATTCCCAATAGGACATTTTCGTTGTTAGTTTATTTGAAACCATGGTGGTTTTCCACTTTTGCTTTACAGAAAGATATCGCCCACTTGGCATGTGATCAGTGAAACACTCCCGTGAACTTCAGCGATCATGCCGGAAAATGGCCTGTCATTGATTCCCACTGGTGGGTCTTGCTTTCGAATATTTATATTTATTTTTAAATGTATAGTACTGTGTGTGTGTATATATATATATAAGGACAAATTAGGTTGCCTTAAGAGAAATACATGGAGAGTGAAGATTAATCTGACCTTGTCTTCCTAAATGCAGATTATCCATTGAATTTATCAATTGGGGTGTTTGACCACTGATCCCACTGCAAAGTTGGCCTTACTTAAGCCCTCTACCATTTGCTTGAGAAGTCTTACTAGTTACAATTAGCTAGTACGGATTATGGTCGTCTACAGCTGTGAAGAACTGCTTCATTATCATTCTTTGAATTGCTTCATTTATTAAATAATCATTTTATCTTTCAGAATCAATTTAATGCATTCCATTGGTGGATTTGAAACTGCACACAGTGAGTTTGTTTTTGAAACCTCAGGGGACCTCATTCTTCTAAAGTACTTATGAAACTATAGAGTTCACTTATCAGAGATCGTCTGCCTAACCTCATTCATAAAGTTTACCAAATTCTATGGGTTTATAGATCAAAATGTATGCTATGTGCAAAACACGCATAAAGGACTTTAGAGTAAGGTTTGGTTCAATTTTTTTTCTAAAATATTATTAAGAAGTAAACTTTAACCTTAATTCAATTTCACAAAGTTAAAAAATTGAGGTTTTTCTTTACATATATGTTTTAAAATAGTTTTATTTCTAGTTGACATGACACTTCCAACACACTCCCTCACGTCAAGCTATATATATTTCGTACGTGAGACTAGATATTAAAAGATTGTCTGATAGGTGAAATGATATGCCCAACAAACTCAATTTCACTTGGATAAATTCTAACACATGAGTCTAATACCATGTTAAAAAGTAAACTTTAAGGCTAACTCAATCTCACAAAACCGACTTGTTGTATTATTTGAAAAATTAACACTAATAAAGGAATATGCATAGGTTCTTTGTAAAAGTGAAACTATTCTTTTATACAAAGATAAAAATAAAAAATCATAATGACACTTTTAAAATTTTTGGATGACTTTAAATTTCTGTTTAAAAAATTGAAGCCTATAATTATATAAATATTTTCAGAAATGTCATCGTTACCATTTTTCAATTTTTTTAACAAAACTATAGGTTTTGATCATATTTTCCAACAAAGATAAAATTCAAAAATAATAATGACATTGTTTACATTTTGGGAGGACTTTAGGATGTTTTTTAAATATTCTTTAAATAGTTGGAGTTTATAATTGTTCAAATATTTTCAAAAATACTACTAATGACATTTTTGAATTCAAGAACTGTTGCGAAGGTGTTGTTGATCCTAATGCTTTTCTTAACATGATAATTGAGAAATTTATAATGAAAAGGGAAGCTTAAGGGCTTTCAAGTTGAGAAGTAAGAATGGTGAATATAAGAGAGAATGAAAGAAGTGGTATGTTGTTGAGAAAGGAAGACAAGAAACTTTCCAAATACTATTAACACCCACTCTCTCACTATTATCACGCACCTCTATTCTTCCCGTTTATCTTTCAATCCAATAACAACAACTACAATGTCCATTCTCTATATTATTTCTACACCCCCACAAAAGCTATTTTCAGTTCCTAACTTAAACTCACTTATCCCGCCCCACATTAAAACAAAACAACATATACCACAGAGTCATATTAAATAAAATAAGGTCTCAAACATAATTTAAATTCAGTTATCACATTTTAATCACTTCACCCACTTATCTTACATCACCTAAACAAAACAAGATTTTTACAATTTTTGTTTTTAAATTTTTCAAAATAAAATCATTTGACTGGATTATTTTTATAAACTAATTTTCAAAAATAGTTTTTTTTTTCATTTTTAACTTTTTTTATTGTGAATCCTTTTTTTTTAAATTTTTTGAAAACAAGGAAACATGTCAAGCATTTTATTAATGACGTGCCAAGCTTACGCTTGATTAATTATGATAACAGACCTTATTTTATTAACTCAACTAAGAACACTTATTTTAAACGATTTATTTACAACAAGTTTGAAGTAACTTTAGTCTGGTTCAAAGAAATGCGCATATATCCATTTTCTTTTCTTTGATTTCAGAAAATGACGAAAACATAGTTAAAACACAATGAAATGATGAGACATGTATTTTTATGTATTCAAAGAATATACGGTGAAAATAAATTTACCAGTTATTCTTTTCATCCTTACTTTACAATTTTTTAATATAATTTTCTATCAAACTGTTATTTTTTTTCTTTCATTTTGTTAACTTGTGAAAAACAGTTATTCGGATTATTTTAAGAAAATGATTTCAAAATAAAAAAAATAATAATTCAATTTACTAGCTAGATTAGACTCTATGGATCTAAATGAAAGCTTTGTAGAAGACATAAACTAAACAAAGAAAAAGAAAAAAGAGAGATTTTCCATCTGTGATGTCAAGTGATGCTTGATCTTGAAGTTAATAGGGTTCCCATTTCAATCATTCTTCTCAACAACTTTTTTTATGCTTCAACATTTTAATGATATGATTTTGGTATAGATTGGGAAAGAAGTGGTCCACACTGTACCTATCTGGTTCAAAATGGATAACCATGCATATGCAGTGTTCATTTTTAACTCATCCTTATTCATCTTAGATACTTAAAGTTATCGATAATTCTAACGTGCAAAACTACAAAGAGATCATTTAATAGGTTGGATTATAAACATAATCCAATTCTATTAAATCATAACATTTTGCATTCAACTTAATCTTATCTGTCGAATAGAATTTTCAACAATCATACATCTTATTATTTAAGTATATTAGTCATTCAAATCAAATTATCAAACAATTTTTCTCTTTTTTATTTTCAACAAATTTATATATTATTTTATTTTTTTCAAGTTGTACAACTTAGAAAAATAAAATCAATGACCCATCTTTTAGGTGTTGAGATACATTTAAAATGGACGCGGTACATATTTTGGCCTGAGTCAAATCTATATATAAGTATACATTTGGAAGATAATATTATTAATATTTGTTAATCATATTATATATTGATATAGATTTTTAATTTATACGCCAATTTGTAATTATATATTACCTAGATGGTTTGCATCAAAACAAAATAATAATAAAAATTATAATATATGATCAAATGTTTTTTTCCATCTTAAACATATATATAAGGTTACTTTAATTAACAGGAATGAATTATGTATCGAATTCTTTTAGATTAATCAAATTTTTATAAACATAATTTAGATAAAATAAAATTTTAATTCAACTAGATATAAATTAAAAACATTTAATTTAATGTTTATGAATGATATCAGGACATCATTAATGAACGTCATAAATTTAAAAAAGAAATCTTTAAAAATATCCATATTAGAACGTAATAAAATTTAAGATTATTGGTCTTACAGAATATAAAAAGTTAGCTTTTCAAAATATGTCGATGTGAAATAAAATTCAAAAGAGAGAGAAAAAGCTGGACAAGAAGAGAAAAAATACGACCATATCAGCATGGACTTAACGTGTTCGTTGCTGTCAACTTAATGGACATAACCCTTATTCATACACTTTTCATAATATAGGATCCGATGTTTTTATTTTTAAAATCAGATACTAAACAGAAATTTACTCCGAGGACGAAGTAAACATTTAAACTTAATTAATATAAGAGTTATTTTGAAGAAAATATTTATGGAGATATTTTCAGATTCCACAAACTTATCCTTACTCTAAAATTCAAATAGTACTTTTATACTAAATGATTTACTTTATATTAAATTAAATAACTTAATTATTATAATATTATTATTTACGGTTATTATATGGACGTTGAAGGAAATGATCTCAAAATATCTTTTGTTTTAACTTTTATTGGCAAGGGCATGCATTGACATTAAGATCTTCGTCGGGCAAGCCTGTGGTGGACCCCACTTTCGTTAACCAAGCCCGTGACTCTCTAATCTGTGACTCTAAGTGCTTCTTAGAATAATTGCTAATTATTATATTAATAAAAAACACTTTACTTACTAAAACAACTTCCATGTGAATGTGCCTGGCCCAACACGTGCAAATCTTTAATTTGTTTTTAAGAATAGGGTTTAATAATTCATTTTATTTTTATTGGTTAACAAAATTTAGTTTTTATTTTACATTTAAAAATCACCCATTTCCTTTTTTAAACAGAGTATTCTGGAAGGGGCTTATGGTTAGCAAAACTTGAAGCCAATAATTGTATGTTAATTTAATTAAGTTGCTTCTCCAATATACAAAAAGTACATAACTTTAAATTAATCAATTTAGGGCAACAAATTATTATGAAGACTTCTGGGCTTCAGTGTCCAGGTTTCTATTCTAGGCCCTAAGTAGGCTTCTCTGGTTTCCTTTTCAACCCTAAGATTTTCAATGCTTAAATGAGATCAACTTTTATGTTTACAGACAAAAATTCTGACAGAAAAAATATAAAAAATATAATATATTTTTTTAAAAAATACATTGTTACTATTCATCTTCATCAAATTAAAAGAAAAATAAAATCCACGGCTTTTCTTTTTCCATCATTTATTTCTTATCAAACACATTATTATTTTATTTTTCAAGAGTTCAGACAAATTGTTGAGAAAGGTAACGTAGGTATTGAAATTATGTTCGAGGGTTTCCACCTATCCAATTATCTGATTACAATAGATCATGAGATTGATT